AGTGTGCCCCAAGGGGTATCCAAGTGTTTTAGAGAGGGAGATTATGGACAAAATGAGCTAGACCCATTGGACCCAAAAAAACACCACACACGCGCGCGCGCATCGCCGCCGCCGTCCGTCCGGTCGGTCGGTCGGGGGGCGGGCTAGGCTTGTCCGGCCCAATACCTATCTTTTTGGATCAAAAACATCTGGTCCGGTTTTTCTGTACATCCAAACAGGTCCCTTCCCATTTTTATCTGTTTGAATTTTGAACCCAACAGATTCAAATATGTTTAAATTCAAAACCAAATAGGTTTCATACCTGTTCAAACAGGTTTGCACCTGTTTAATTCAAAACCTGCAGCCACCACTACATTTATAAATAGGACAGTCCTCATTCGATGTTAAACACATTTAGAAAATTCGTACTTCACATCTGCAAATTTATTCTTCATTTTGTTACATTTAATTTTTGTGAGAAATAGTATAAACACTAGTGTGTTCTTTAGGAAAATAATTTGTAGTGCTGCTATTGTTTGTAGTTGATCATTTCATCCTGAGAGATAGACGTCCACATTCTGAAAGCACCGTGGAGAGGACGAATCTGTCTTAAGGACACAGTGTTAAACACTAGACTTGATCAGATATTTATTAGAAGAAATTAATCAAGTAAGTTGTTTAATTTATTATTCTATTTTATTTGTTTATTAATTCAAACTTTAATTTTATTTTTGTAACAAAATAAAATCTGTTTTTATTTATTTATTTCTAGTTTGATTTTTGTAATCAAACAAATTCTCTCATTTCCTTAATTTCTTTATATTCCTATTGTTGTTTAGTACACAATAGAATTTAATCTATTTAAATACAATGAAGATTGTCCGACACTTTCTTCTTCTTTTTTTCTTCTCTATATATACAATCATGTATTCTATGAATACATAAAATCTTGGTAAAATGACTAACACAACCCTCTAAAATGAATTTATACTCTCTTGAATGTCTTCATTGTGGCCCAAAAAGAAGAAAAAAAAGGGGGAATGAATGCAAAGGGAAGAAAAGTGGGCATGCATTAAAGAACATTGGATTTTGGGAATTTGAAATGGATTTTTGTTAGAGCAGGCTTTGATTCGGAATTAATCGTGAGCTACTTATTTTTTAAAACTAGATGAAATTTAAATGTATTTAGGTTTCAAAATTACTCAAATCTTTCAAGAAAATGATATAAAAATAGATGAAATTTCGGATACTAAAGATTCAAAATCCACTAGTGGATATGTCTTTACTCTGGGAGGTGCTGCTATTTCTGGAAAATCTACGAAACAAACTTGCATCGCACGATCCACAATTGGATCCGAGTTCATTGCTTTAGACAAAGCAGGCGAAGAAGTAGAATGGCTTCGTCACTTCTTAGAAGACATTCCAATGTGGCCAAAACCTGTGCCAGCTATTTGCATTCATTGCAATAGTCAATTTGCAATAGGCAGGGCACATAATCACATGTATAACGGTAAGTCACGACATATTCGTCGTCGACATAATACTGTAAAGCAATTGTTGTCAAATGGAATAATCTCAATAGATTATATAAAATCTAAAAAGAGTATTGCAAATCCGTTAACAAAAGGTTTGACAAAAGAACTAGTGTATAGTTCATCGAATGGGATGGAATTAAAGCCTATTACATAAGAATCGTCATAATGGTAACCTTACTTATATGACTGGAGATCCCAAGAACTAAGTTCAAATGGACAACTAAGTTATGTATGGCTCGCTAGAAATCACCAAGGGATTAAAATTCCTTACCCATTCCTACGGTGAGAGTGATATCTGCAACATATGTTGTATGTAGGGGTATAAAGATAAGCTTTGCTTTTAATGATTACTTATATCTTGATTGAGGCATAAAATCAAGACGAGTATAAGGAGATACTCACAATAAAAATCACCTATATGAGTGTCGAGCTGGGGCCGGTTTTATGAGAATGAAAAAGGCTAAATTCTCTAGAAACACTCATGAAAACTAGAAACGTTCAAGGCCAAAATGAACACAACAGTGAGAACCACGATGTGTTAGAAGATATTTTGTATGAAATCTGTTGTCTTGGCTTACACAAACGGCTGAACAATTCAAGGCATCGCATCCATTGGTTAGCCAGTAAGTCCGATAGGTTATCACTAGGGAAGGTTCAAGGCCGAAAGCTACCTATCCTGATGCAAGATATTTTCGACTTATACTCTTTCGATAAAGGCTGCATATTGTTGCATTTTCGTTGTCATCAAATTCCATTTATGTGGAGGATTGTTGGAAATGGTTGGAAAATTCTGGATAAAATCAAAAAAATTTCCTAACTTTGGTCTATTATTTAGGTGGGACCTGAGCGTCAAATTTGGCAGGTCAAAGTGGTAACGCATTCTATGTCGCGTTGTGATTCATGTAGTATATATGGTTACTCAAAACCATTATCGGTGAATGAAAAATTGAAGCCAAAGTATGCTCCATGAAAATGGAGTTTTGGTGAAAAATCCTTAAAGGTTTAAATAAGGCTTGTCCTACATTGATTTGGTGGGAAGTTTTGAATGGGTTTTTAAGGCATAGGATTGGAACTTGGAGTGTGCCCCAAGGGGTATCCAAGTGTTTTAGAGAGGGAGATTATGGACAAAATGAGCTAGACCCATTGGACCCAAAAAAACACCACACACGCGCGCGCGCATCGCCGCCGCCGTCCGTCCGGTCGGTCGGTCGGGGGGCGGGCTAGGCTTGTCCGGCCCAATACCTATCTTTTTGGATCAAAAACATCTGGTCCGGTTTTTCTGTACATCCAAACAGGTCCCTTCCCATTTTTATCTGTTTGAATTTTGAACCCAACAGATTCAAATATGTTTAAATTCAAAACCAAATAGGTTTCATACCTGTTCAAACAGGTTTGCACCTGTTTAATTCAAAACCTGCAACCACCAATACATCTATAAATATGACAGCCCTCATTTGATGTTTGACATTCAGAAATTCCGTACTTCACATCTGTAAATTTATTCTTCACTTTGCTGCATTTAATTTTTTGTAAGAAAGAATATAAAACACTTAGTGTGTTCGTTGTACAAATATATTGTAGTGCTACATATATTTGTTGTTGATCATTTCATCCTGGGAGATAGACGTCCATATTCTGAAAGTACCGTGGAGAGGACGAATCTGTCTTAAGAACACGGTGTCGAACACTAGACTTGATCAGAATAATATTCACGATATTAATTAAGTAAGTTATTTATTTATTTTCTGTTTTATTATTATTTATTGAAATCAAATTTTAATTTTGTTTTGGTAACAAAATAAAATCTGTTTTTATTTATTTAATTCTATTTCTAGTTTGATTTTTGTAATCAAATATTCATTCTCCTTTCTTATATTTCTTTTATATTCTGTTTGTCGTTTAGTACCCAAACAGAATTAATTATTTTAAATACAGTAAAAATTGTCCAACACTTATTTATATTTTATTATTATTATTCTTAGTTAGTATTTTTTTTTAATTTAATATTAATGTGGTGTTAATTAAACATTTAGAGTATCACAATTATAACTCCCTAAAGCTTCCAATCATTTTTGTACTTCTGAATGACAAAAGGAGAATGATGCCAATGGGAGGATGTGAGATTGTAGCTTGGTCATCTAAATATTTAACGCATATTTAGTTGTATATTTATTTTTATTTTTAAAAATATAAAAATTGTTTAACAATTTATTTTTTAAAAACAATTCACTATTTAAGAAACAGTGTACAGCTATTCTCAAATTTGATATTTTTATTTGTGCTTGAAAACAAAATCAATTGAAGTTTTCATTATTTTTAATTTAAAAAATACGAAAAAATGAATCACTGCTACTCACGCCAAACTTTACGTCAAAGTCGACTATTTGCGCGTCAATTGGTTCTTCACACAAGCTCACAAGATTAACAACAAATAAAAGTAGTTTAAAAGTTAATAAATAATTGAAAGTCAAGAACTACAACTACTTAAAATTAAATTTTCATTTTTATTCACTCTACTTTTTTACTATATTTTTTTCATAAAAATTAAAAAATTATCTCAAATATATTTTAACTAAAATTCACTTCAAACATATTTTTAATCTCATATTTTAATTAAAAAATAAAAAAAAAATATGTTGTCAAACAACCCTTCAATACATCTTGTTTGTTGGTTTAGATTTTGTTATAGGCTTGAACCTAAAGTGATAAGAGTGCTAACACACACATCTATTAAAAAAAAGCATAACTCAATCGATTTTAATTATTTATTAAATGTTATTTTATTAAAAATCACCTTTTAATTATATATACTTCAAGTGAAATTAATATAATTTTAATTAATTTTTCGAGTTGGCATAACGTGAGCCACTTATCTAAATACAAGTCGCACACTCATCTCGGTGTTCTTATTTCTAACACCCAAAAAGGAAAATACAAATCACACATTTTTTAGGGTTACGTATAATTATAAAATAAATAATATTATTCAAAAAAGAGTAATGTTAGAGATCCCAAATATTCTATCAAAAGTTTTATCAAATGTCTCACATGGGTGTGGGACCCACACAATGTGGGTCCCATGTGGGTCCCACACCATGAGATATTTGGTAAAACTTATAATTTTAATTAATTTTTCGAGTTGGCATAACGTGAGCCACTTATCTAAATACAAGTCGCACACTCATCTCGGTGTTCTTATTTCTAACACCCAAAAAGGAAAATACAAATCACACATTTTTTAGGGTTACGTGTAATTATAAAATAAATAATATTATTCAAAAAAAGAAAAAATAAATAAAAAAAGCCAGCTGCAGAGAATAATGACGAAGGTGTGAGAGCACATAGCAAAGCTACGGTACCAACACGTGACAGCAGAATGTGTAAGATTTAGGCGCATTTTAGCAATTGCAAGGCATGTAAGATTGAGGTGACACGTATTACGACGCGCCCACAACGTATAACTCATATTCCGTTCGTCTAGAGAGCCCCTTCATAAAGATCAGAGAGAGAGAGAGAGAGAAACAGTGTGAAAGTAAGACAGAGAGAGAGAGAGAGAGAGCGCAATGGAGGTGGTAGTGGAATCGGAGGTGTGTCGGATAATGATGGGAGTTAACGAGTCGACAATCAAGGGATATCCTCATCCTTCAATTAGCAGCAAAGGAGCTTTCGAATGGACTCTGAAGAAGATCGTTCGCTCCAACATCTCCGCCTTCAAGTTCCTCTTCCTCCATGTCCAAGTCCCCGACGAAGATGGTCCTCTCTCTCTCTCTCTCTCTCTCTCTCTCTCTCTCTCTATATATATATATATATATATACACGCACGAGCGCGCGCGCACACACACACACACACATGTTTCACATGGATTTATGCATCTGGCTCTTTGAGGCCTTTGATTTAGGGTTTTGATTACTCCATTTGCTTTCTTATCTATATTCGTGTTTGTATTTTGAGAAAATGAATGAATGACACTCTATAATCTTGTCATGCCGTTCAATTTACGAGTATACGGATCGAAGTAACTGTTTACTGATGGATCACTTGCCGACTGGGCTGTAATTTGATAGTCAAGTTGCGATCGTTGTTGTTCGTTTGTTAATTGGGAATTAATTCTGATCTAGTAATCTGTGTGTGAGTATTTTGAAAAGTATAGCTCGAATGACCCCAACCAGGACGAAATTGATGCGTCAAGCATGTTATGCTCTGTTCCAAGTCTTTGTTGCGAGTCTATTTGCTCATTGAGTTATTTTAATTAGATTGCTAAATGTAACACAAATCTATTATTGAAAAGGATGATTATGACTGAGTCAATTGACATCGAGAGTTTTCCATTGATCATCTTGTGGTTTTGTGAAGGAGAAAGAGATGGAAGGATTTTTTCTTTTTTCTTTTTTCTTTTTTCTTTTTTTGAAGAAATGAAAAGGAAAATGAGATCAGAAATGCCAAATTTCTTGCTCTTGCTTGGTGGGACTGTTGGTCTGGGGTAAACGAGAAAAAAATGGATAGGTATATTGTATTGCTTAGAAAAATCCTTTTTTATTAACCATAGAAAAATGATTTAAGTAATTTCATTTCAGTTTGACAGATTGGGAACCTATTTCCTTTTGACTTGATGAAGGAAAAATAGCCTTACTATGGAGAAAATGGGGGTGTTTTGTATGTACTTTATATTTCTTTGGATGAATGTAAATATTCTCAGTTATTCTATCTTTTTTTCATCTTCCCCCCCCCCCCCCAAAAAAAAGATTTTAAGGGAATAAATTCATTCTTAGGTTAGAAGATCCCATTAAACTATTAGTTTCATTCATGTTTGAAGACATTCAAGAATTCAGCCCTTTAAATGCAGTTCTTGGTTTGTAAATTATGACTGAGTCGATGTTATATTTCTATAGGGAGACAACCCAGCTCTAATTAAAGGCAACTCAATATAGTAGCGAAACTCATGTATGGAGATTAGGCTAAGCGAATTGCTTGAGTGCACGTTGCACAAACATTGGATATTGTCTTGGTATTTTGAATGCATTACACTATATTTTATTTCTGGTGTATTTAGCCGACTCGCTTCTGGAAAATCAGTCCACACGAAGGCTGTGTTTGGATCATAGATTTGGATAGGGATTTAGAAGGGAAAAAGAAAAGGGTGGGTGAGATATAGCAATATTTTATCCACTTTTTCCCTTTTCCTTTCCAAATCTATGAAAGGAACTCAAATTATCATGATAACTGTGGACTTGCATCTACAGTGTAGCCTATCCTGGCAATTGTTTTGTATTATAAAACTTCCATATCATGCCTACAGAGTTGTAATTTACTTGCACACCAAACCTGAAGCTTGCTGGAGTTTTGTGGATCCAAATTCCCAATTCTACTCGTCTGTAACCACTTATTTTCTTGTTCTTGGATCTGCTTCTTAGAATTATTAGCTAATGGTTCTTTGCTAACGTGTTTTGGTTAGGTTTTGATGACATGGATAGCATATATGCATCACCTGATGATTTTAAGAGGATGGACCGCAGGGACAGGATAAGAGGGCTCCATTTGCTTGAGTTCTTTGTCAATAGGTGTCATGAGCTTGGGGTACTGTTAATTCTCTCTTTGAAGGCCTCTAGTTTTTTGTCAGCTTCACATGCTTGCTCACACACAAAATCATAACCCTATGAGTTTTTTAGACCCACTCTAACAGTAACTTTGTTTACAATGTCATATTGGACAATTGTTCTTAGTCTTTATGCTGAAAACCTTGTAGGTTGCTTGTGAAGCATGGATCAAGAAAGGTGATCCCAAGGAAGTTATCTGCCATGAGGTCAAACGAGTCCAACCTGATTTACTGGTTGTGGGAAGCAGGGGTCTTGGCCCTTTCCAAAAGTATAGACCCAACTTTTTTTTTTTTTACTTATTTATGTTAATACACAAGGAAGACAGACTAGACGAACAATTTCTCTTGATTGTCATTTGAGATTTTAACATGCTTGTGTTTTGGAAACATGTGATTCATTGGTTGGCAAACAAGATTACTGTACAAACTACTAAGAAATTATACTTACTGAATCTGGCCCTTTCCAAAAGTATGGACCCAACTTTTTTTTACTTATATTAATACGCAAGGAAGACAGACTAGATGAGCAATTTCTCTTGATTGTCATGACATTTTATCATGCTTGTGTTTTGGAAACATGTGATTCATTGCTTGGCAAACAAGAATACTGTACAAACTACTGAGAAATTATACTTACTGAATCTGATTTTGCAGGGTTTTTGTTGGAGCTGTGAGTGAATTTTGCGCAAAGCATGCTGAGTGCCCCGTCCTCACAATCAAGCGCGCTGCTGATGAGACTCCTCAAGATCCTGTTGATGACTGATTGTATCGGTCAATGGACTTCAAATAATCGCAGTGGCACGAATGCATGTAAATGAAGTACCCGTGAAAATTTTCTCTGCTTGTTCTCCTTAAAACAATTGCCGTGGTACTTGTGCCTGTAAATAAAGTGTTCATGAAATTTTTCCCTGCTTGTTTTCCTCTGCGTTTCTCTTTCCCCTCTTGGAAATGCATATACTAAACCTGGCTTCCATCATTTTTTGCACCGGGTTTGGAGGTGCATTTGGAGTTGGTTTTGTGCTTAAAAATGGAGAATGCAGCTGATTTGTGTTCTTCACTCCCTTGTTTCTATGTCAGTTTCTTGTCATTTTGGCATTTGAGTGAATATGGTGATGTGCTTATGTTTCTGTTTCATGTTTTCTTGCCCAAACGGCTGTGCTGCATTCATAATCCTGGTGTTTGTACTGCCACTCTTTGATTTTCTCGCCAATGAGTTCATGCTTCGTATGGCTGCCTGAACAAACAAACCCCATTTGGTGTGGTTATCACAGCCACAAAAGGGGTGAATGCAAACTGAAATCTTGTAAGCATTGTTATGTTTTCAGTGCATACTTTCATTTGGACCTTTATGAAGCCATTCCCACCACCTCTTATTGAAATTCCAAAATTCACTTTTGGAAGCGGCAGCTGACAACCACCTCGATCACCAAATCCTGCCACCATCTTTTGATGGTATATAGTTCCCTCATAATGTGTACTAAATTGACTATTTGTTTTAAACAAATTTAATATTTTAAGAATAATAAACTATAAACGTTACTTGACACATAACTGAGTTTTTCATTTGAATTACACCACAAATACATGGCTAAAGGCACTAGTTAAAGCCATAGGTTATCCATAAATTTCACAAAATTGCAGAGGAAATAGCTTCTTCACGACCAATCACTTTTTGTGCTTCACAAAGATTCAGATACAGCAATTGCAAAATTTGGCCAGCCAAATTTCTCCCTATTTTTTCATTTTATTTTATTTTATAAATGTTCCCATTGAGGGAGCAAGAAACAAAGATAATAACTACTACTAAGCATTGATTGAGAGAGACCAGAGGGTCCAAATGACAATGTTTACTATAATGGGCAAGTAAAAGCAGTTTGTTATACAGCAACCAGAAAAACAACCAACTTATACTAAATATATCTCCTATGGGTTTTAAACAACTCCTAATACCTTCATACATCCATCTTAATTCCAAAAAAGCAACCTGAACATCTCTATATTCCTAAGCAAAATACTCAAAAAAGAAACTAAAACTATTACATGAAACAAAAAGAAATGGCACCACATTTAACACTTAAAAAACTCCATATTTTTTCACATCAGTCCCTCTAAGATGAGGTAGATGACTTGGCCATTGTACTCACCTCCTCCAAGAGCCCTTTCATCTCACCCTCCAAGTCCGACTTCGTCTCCGGTAACATATTCCCATCAGACTTCTCCAGCAATGATGTCATAATCTCAAGTTTTTTCTTTATGAAGAGAAGCCGGGATGCTTCATCAACCGCATATTGCAGAGATGGATCCACTGGGGTTTTGCCCCCCTCCCTAGAAGCAGAGGAAGCTGCACGGTTGTCTGCATGCGCCCTCGGAGCAGCTGCACGGTTATCCGCATGCTCCCTTGGAGCAGCTGATGGATATCGGAGCCGGTAATTCACACAGGCAGGTCCCAAGGGACTGTCCTTGATACATTTCTTGAAGGCTTCTTCTGCATCAGAGTTCCTCACAAAAACAACCCGAGCACAGTATGAATTATACAAAACATCTGTTTCAGTTTCATTCAGAGGCCCAAACTTGCTGAATACTGTTACAAGGTCATTTTTCGACGGCAAAGGGAAACCGGGGGGAAATGTAACCATAAGGGTTATGGGTGTTGAAGCTTTATCGTCTTCATTCTTTTCATTCCTTGTCCGCTGAGATCTAGATTCAGGCATTTCATGGCCAGTCTGGTTTAGATTTTCTTCCATCAACCGGGGTTCAGAGCTTGAAGACTTTCTCTTTCTACTTGACTGATGTTTGTGGTACATTTTGTAGTTGGAACCATTTATAAACATAGCGCTTCTGTAGGCAGAAATGAATTCACAGATCATATCAACAGAACTTTTATCCCTCAAATACAAAGGATTACGAGCTGCAGAGCATATTTCTGATGTGACTTCCTTCGTAGATACATTGATTTTGATGGAGTCAATAATCTTCATCTGATCTTCAACTCTGCTATCAAGCTCTTTAGGGTTTTTCTCCTGAATTGTTTCATCGCTGTGATTCACAATGGGAGGTGATCCAATAAGTTGTCCAGCAGCCCTAGTCATCCGCTCCCCAATTCGAGCAGCCTTGGTAATTTTCAAAGATTCTGCCGAGTCCCTCGACGCATTTGAGTTTTTCACCTTCCACTCTGGGGTTGTGAAGGGAGGGGACAAGTATTTGCTTTTCTTCCTTTCCCTTGATGCAGAGGCCATTTCAACTTCCCTTTTGGCACCCCTATCATTCTTGACACTTGACACATTGTCCTTCTTAGTTTCTTCTTCACCCTCCCCACTGCCATTGTTGGCACTCCAAACATTGTTCTCTGCAGATTCAGGAGATCCTAAAGTCTCGACACTCTTTCTTCTTCCTCTCTTCCTTCCTGAGGGAGAAGGGAAATCACTGCCACCCCGACTTGGAGCTTCATTTTGCATTTTGGCGTCCCTATTATCATTTTCAACTCTAGACACCTTGTCCTTCTTAGTTTCTTTGTCACCTTTACCACCGCCATTTTTAGCTCTCGAACCTCTGTTCGCCGGGGATTCAGGAGATCCTAAAGTCTCGGCACTCTTTCTCTTCCCCCTCTTCGTCCCTGAGGGAGAAGCAAAATCACTGCCATGCTGACTTGGAGCTTCTGTTTTCCTTTTTGCATCCCTTTCATCATTCTCAACTCTAGACAAATTGTCATCCTCATTTTTTTCTTCACCTTCACCTCCATTCTTAGCATTCAAAACTTTGTTCTCTGAAGTCTCGGCACTCTTCCTCCTCCCCCTCTTCCTCCATCTACCATGCTGACTTGGAGCTTCAGTTTCCCATTTCTCATCCTTTTCATCATTCTCAACTCTAGACAAATTGTCCCCCTTATGTTTTTCTTCACCCTCACCGCCACCATTCTTAGCATTCAAAACTTTATTCTCTGAAGTCTCGGCACTCTTCCTCCTCCCCCTCTTTCTCCCTGAGGGAGAAGCAAAATCACTGCCACCCTGACTTGGAGCTTCATTTTGCATTTTGGCATCCCTATCATTATTTTCAACACTAGACGCATTGTCTCTCCTAGCTTCTTCTTCACCCTTACCACCGCCATTTTTGGCACTCAAAACTTTGTTATCTGCGGATTTAAGAGATTCTAAAGTCTCAGCACTCTTCCTCTTCCCCCTCTTCCTCTCAGAGGGAGAAGTGAAATCACTACCACCTTGATTTGGAGCATCATCACTGGTCTTCACTTTTTTCTTTCCAGAAGTTGACACCAGTTTGCCAGGGCTTGTTACATTCTTAACCACGCCCTCTTTCTTCCTCTTGGGCTCAACAACCACATCTTCTTTCATAAGTTCAGCCACGCTTTTCTTCTTCCTTCTGTGGTAGAGCTTGTCCTCTGATATCCCAGGGCACTTTTGCAACAATGATTTATTGGTTTGGCCGAATCCAGCGTATACTAGTGAAGAAAGCCAGTCTTCTTCAGATGGACCTAGAACCGGAGCTTCCACTGATCCACTAAAATCATTCATATCAGTAACCCCAATCCTATTCTTGTCCTCCAGGCCTTCAATATACACGGGTTCATGATACATAGCCAGTTTGTGCCCATCTTTTGCTTGATAGAATGCCGACAGCCAACTCCTCAACGCTGTGAGCTCAATCATATTGACAATAGAAACTACCTCTGAAATATACCTCAAATTCAAAAGTAATTCTGCTGGTTCATGCTGAGGAATTGAGAGTCTACTTGGATCGCACTCGGGCACAAGCACTCCTTTCTTGATTCCACCATTCAGTGCCGATGGTCTAGCAAGCCCAATCCGATTTTCCTCGGGTATGCAAGCGCAAGTCATCTTCAACTCCACAAGACGACCAATCTCATCTAGAGCCCTCTGCACAGCATTCACAAAATTCCTAGCATTACTTTGCTTCGACATTTCTTTGAAATCCTTTGCAAAAGGTTTCAATTGAGATGGGGAGCACCAAGAGAAAGAGCCATCCCCAAAGTATGCAATGAGCAGTCGTTCCCTCTGATTATATTTTCTTGCATACTTGGATGCATCTGAAGCATCATACACTTGTCCAGGCCACCAAGGGTGACTTCTAATTTTTCCCCACACAAGGTCGCCCACTAAATACTCATGTTCTCGATCACCCTCATCCTCTTCTCCATCATCACCCTCATCTTCTTCTTCATCATTCTCAACCGCATCTTCTCTTCCCACCTCATCCTTTTCTCCATCATTCTCAACCAAATCTTCTCCATCCTCACCCTCGTCATTCTCTTCTCCATTAGGATTCGATTCATGTTCTCCGCTTCCCTCCGTAGACTCCTTTTGGTTCATCTTAGACACAGAACCAGGTATTTTCATCAATTTCGCACCTGGGTCGCCCCCATTTTCAGCCACAGAACCTTTGTCATTCTCATTCCCACTGGCATTCACAGTGTCTAATGAGCTGTGAACTTGGACAAGAATCGAAATACCATTCTGGTCCAATTCCACCTTCCCATCAGCACCATCATCTCCAATCAACACAATCGAATCACCCTCACTCCTACCACCACGTTCCTTCTCATCTCCTCTTTCATCTTCCGAAGAAGACGAACCCCCGATCACTTTAACATCTCCTAGAACCCCACCATCACCACCCACAACCCCAGCTCCATTTTCTTGAGCTTGAAGAGCCAAGTCTGGGGGTTCGAACCCTCGATCGTCAGTGGGGATAGGAATTAGAGTTTGAGACTGAGCTCGTTTGGATGAGAGAGAACCATCAATCTCAGCTAGGGTTTGCGTCGCCTCTGTTTCCATATTTGGAAAAAAGCTTTTCCCAAATCACTCTTCAATTTTCCCGAGAAAATCCGAGTTCAGAACTGTACGGACATAAAAAAAAAAAAAAAAAAAAAAAAAAAAAAGAGAAGAAATTAAAGTAAATATGAATCAACAACCAAACAGCCAGTACTAATTAGGGTTTTGTCTCTCGACATGGAAGAGCTTGAAGAAATATCTATATATGTACAGAATTAAGATTATAGGACGTACCTGAAGAATGAAAACAAGGGTATTGAGATTATGCTTTTACGATTCTCCATACCATATTTTTTCAGAGGTATCTTGGAATTTCATGTAGAGAGACAGTGAAGAGAGAAAAATAGAAAGTGCGTACGTGTATGTATGTAATGTACATGGACATGTGTGTGTTTTTTGAGAGAGAGAGAGAGATGGAGAATAATTTGTGAGTGGGTTGGAAGGTTTGAGTGAGGATTGAGGTTTCATTTGAAAATAGATTATTTTAATAATTTTTAATTTTTTTATAAAAAATAGAGAATATGACATGATAATTCATAATAATTTTTTAATTTCTTAACTAAAATAAATAGTTGACAAACAAGGCTTGAATTAGTTTACAAATTTTGAGAATTTAAGGGTATGTTTGGTAATGTTTACGTTTTCAGTTTATATTTACAAAAATTTTATAAACTGGTTTTTGTTTATTTTTAGAAAAACATAAACTACAAACGCGTTTGGTAATTGACAAATTGTTTAAAAAAATTTAAAAATATAAAAAAAAAAGTGAGAAATGGCAAGTGGTGGCGGAAGACGGTAGCGGAAAGTGGTGACGGTGGGTGGTGGGTAGCTCGTGGTGGTGGGTGGGTGGGGGAGGGTGGCGGGTGGTGGGTGGTAGTGAGTGGGAAGTGGTGGTGGTGGGTGGTGGGTGGTGGTGGTAGGTGGGTGGGTGACGGTGGTGGTGGTGGTAGCGGGTGGTGGTAGCAGGTGGGTGGCGGTGGCAGGTGGGTGGCAGATGGCGGGTGGTGATGGGTGGTGGGTAGGTGGCAGGTGGTGGGTGGTGAGTGGCCGATGGCGGGTGGTGGTCGGTGGCCGGTGGGTGGCGGGTGGTGGTGGTAGGCGGATGGGTGGGTAACGATGGTGGGTGGTGGTGGTGGTGATGGTGGCGGGTGGGTGGCGGATGGTTGGTGGTAGTGGGTAGTGGCGAGTGGGTGGGTGACGGTGGCGGGTGATGGGTGATGGCGGGTGGTAGGTGGTGGTGGTGGTGGTGGTGGTAGCAAGTGGGTGGCGGTGTAGGTGGTGGGGTGGTATGGATGGGTGGTTGGTGGTGGTGGCGGGTTTGTGGTGGCAGTAGATGGGGGTGGTGCGGGTGGGTGGTGACGGTGGGGTTGGTAAGTGATAGCGAGTGGTTTGGTAGTGGTGGTGATGGTGGGGTGGTGGTAGTGGTGGGTGGTGGTGTGGGTGGTGTGGCAGGTGGGTGGTGTAGTGGTGGTGTGCGGGTGGGTGGGTGGCAGGTGGCTAGTGGTGGTAGGTGGCTTGGTGGTGGCAGGTGGGTGGTGGGTGATGGTGGTGGTGGCGGGTGGGTGGCAGGTGTAGTGGTGGTGGGGTGGCTGGTGGTGCAGAGTGGGTGGTGAGATGGTTGGGTAAGCAAGTACGGTAGCGGGTGGTGGTGGCGAAAAGCGGTGAATGTAGTGGGGCAGCAGGCTGGTGGGTGGCGATTGGGGTGGTGCTGGTGAGTCTGACAAGTGGGCTGGTGGTGGTGGCGGGGCGGCAAAGGGTTGGTGGTGGTTGGGGGCGAAGGGTAGGTGGTGGTGGCGGTGGAGTGGCAGGTGACTGGTGGCAGTGAGTGGCTGGTGTAGTAGGTGGTGGTGGCTGGTGAGTGTGGTGGAGGGTGGGTGGTGTGGCTGGAAGACTGGTGGTAGAAAATGGTGGCGGGTGATGGCTAATGTTGGGTGATAAAAAAAAAAAAAACTGAAAACTCAAAATGGAAACACATTTTTTGTGTTTTCATTTTTTGGCCAAATTTATAAACTGAGATTACTTATTTATAAATCAAAAATTTTACCAAACAAGTTTTTATTTGAATTTTTTAAATTTTTATAAATATAAACAGAAAACTGAAAACGTAAGTGTTACCAAAAGGCACTTAACTGATTGACTAGTATTTTAGGGAAATTATATAGGCTGTTCAGACTTCACACGGGTCAGGTGGTAGCTTGTCCTTGTTGATTTTATTATTCGTTCGTATCACTTACGCTATTTTATTTAATAATAAGGTTGATATGATATGGAGGTGAATCAGCGAGGCGTAGATGGGTTTAGAGACACGTCGTTGGTTGGGCAGACGCAGAGGACTTCTTTCTTTGTTTGAAAAAAAATGTTAGGGGTTTTAAAAATTTTATTAAAAATTTTATTAAATATTTTACATGGATATGGGATCTATATGGGATCTATATTGTGTGAGTTTCACACCCATATGAAACATTTAGTAAAATTTTTAATAGAATATTTAGAATTTCTAACATTACTCTTATTTAAATTCCTAATCCAAAATCCACGTACCATGCCTTGGAGGCGCGCGACTACGTGGAAACTTTAAGCATTGTTTGGTTTTATTTATGAAAATTGTTATAAATTATAAATAATTTATTAAATTATTTATATAGGCATGAGATTCATATAAATTTACATGTATGAATTTTACATGTGTATGGGTCTCACACTTATGTGAAAGATTTAGTAAAAAATTTTATATATTATTCAGGGTTTCTAACATTCCTCTTTATTTATTTATTTTAAATGAGTTCGTTTATATTTAATAAATTTTTTATAATCTAATTTTTTTAATGTACTTAATTTAGATTTTTTTAAATAAAGTAAAATGTGAAAAAAAAATTCTAAAAACCAAAAAAAAACCGAAACAAAAACTTGTCCATCGCATCTTTGCTATGCAAGATTGGAAAACCCTTTGGTTTATGAGGAAATTTAAAATTATTATAAATTTAACGTTAAATATTTTAATTAAAAAAATATTTCATATTTGTTGAAATTTAAAGAAAAAATTACAAATAAGTGAAAATATCTCAAAAAAAATTACAAAATTGTAAAAAAAAAAAAGGGGGTAAATTACATTGATACCTCTTGAGATTTGGTCCAATTACTACCCATCCCCTGACGTTTTAGAAATTACATTCACACCCCTGTAGTTAATAGTCTCATTTCACAAACCCCCCTGTTTATATAAAAGGTAATAATTCCTAGTAGAAAAACAGCGAAAATTACATTAAAAAATAAGTAAAGGAAAGGGGGAAACAAATATAAAGTAAAGCAAAGTAAAAAAAGAAAGAGTGCATGAGTTCAATGTCTTCATTCCGTCTAAATAATTACAATGACAGGAGGGTTAGTGTAATTTCTCAAACGTCATGAGTGATATGTATTAAATCCAAACTTCAGGGAGTGTAAGTGTAATTTACTTTAAAAAAATTATCATTTTAATTATTAAAAATGATAAGCTTTACCACTAACTTATAATATATATATATATATATTTTTTTTTTTTTTTGAATTTTTCGACTAATTGCAATTTTTCCAAATTTAAAGTGTTGTTTGGTACCATTTAGTGTTTACTGTTTATTATTTACAAAAACTTTTAAACATGGCTCTAATTTTTTTGACAAAAATGAAAATAAAAAAATTTTTGGTGAACACATTTTTTAAAAACTTTGCTTTGAAAATCAATGGAAGAAGTGGCCAGCGGTCTAAGGTCAAAGATGGTAGTCGACCATGCAAAGGTGGTTTTTGATCACTAATGGTGATTGTTGTGGGTAGGAGATTCATGGCGGCAACCAAATGTGGTTGTCAATTGGTCAAGGTGATGGCTAAAGATAGTTTGCGATCAGTGACATAGTCAAGAATTTTTTTTAATGGAATCATTTAACAAAGTATTATCAATGTCATATATCATATTTTTAATTTCACATAATTCATTAATATTAACATTCATATAATACTCTTTAAATTTTGTATTCACAAATCACATTGACAAAAGTAACCTAAACTAATGAAATTACAAGTAAAAACAAAAGTAATAGACAATAAAGAGAACCAAAAGTCGATGTCTAGTCTCCAAGAAGAATAAACAAACGTTTGGTTTGTTTTTAAAAACCTAAATTTCTGAATAAAGTTTGATTTTGTTTTTACTTACTGAGATCAATTTGTAAAATTTTAAAAATTAATTTATTTTATTTAAATCCACTAAGTTAAATTTATAAATACTCATAATTTTTTTCATATACTCTATCAAAAATTTAAAATTCGGCGGTGCCAATTAACACAATTATTCAAAGCATAGCTCCGTCCCCGTTTGTGACTGATAGAAATAATAACTGACTACTAAATGGTGATTCGCAATGACCAAAGTTTGTTGTTGGTGGCTGTAGGTAGTTACCAAGTACAGAAGGTTCCAAGGGGGGCAAAAGGAAGAATGGATTAAGGCCGCGTTTGACTTCCTTTTGAAATTATGATTCCCATAAAAAAAATTTAGATAAATTACATTGACGCTCTCTGATATTTATGTTTATTATAATTCTTCTCTTCACATTTAAAAAATTACATTGACTCTCTTTGTCAGTGTAATTATTTGATGGTATTAACTTTTAAGTTAAAATGACATATTGACTCTTAACCTTTACATATACTTTAAAGAGTAAATTACATTGACACCCCCTGAGGTTTTAATTTAATACGGATCCCCCTTGACACTTAAAAAAAAAAACTAATTTAAGAAAAATAAATATGAAAATATATTTAATTTGTAAAAAAATATTTATAACTACTCGAAAGATAAAAGTTATACAAAAATGATAATTATTTTTTATTTTTTATTTCTTAACCAAATTAATTTTTAATTTTTTTAAAAAAACTCTAAAAATCAAACCATACATAACCTAAGAATCTTCTGATAAGTCATTTCTTACGTTGGTAATTTATTTAATTATTTTTTAATTTTAAGACATTTTTACCATCTTATGCCTGTTTGGTAACCATTTCGTTTTCAGGTTTCAATTTATATTTACAAAAAATTTAAAAACTGTCATAAAAATTTGTTTGATAATTTTTTTGGTTTATAAATAGTTGTCTCAGTTTTTAAATTTAAAGAAAAAAACATAAATTCAAAAAATGAGTTTACGTTGGCTTTTAAATAAAAATTTTAAAATTTGACTAACAAATTTTTTTTTCAACTGGTAACTCTACTTTAAACCTTGGGGAGAGGATTGTAATTTCTAAAATGTGAGGGGCGTCAATGTAATTTACCTAGTGAGGGCAAAATTAGTATTTTAAAAAATTAAATTGCTAACATCAGCAAGTCAACTAACTAAGGGAGCAATCTGTGATGAAATTTTAAACCTCAGGGAGAGAGATGTAATTTCCAAAAGGTGAGGAGGGAACTGTAA